AGCAACAAGAGCAAGAGTCGGAATAACTCCCGGAGAAGGAGAACTTACCTATGCATGCCTTGGTTGTAGCTATGAGTGGCAATCCTATCTGGCAAGCGTCGAAGGGGTATGAAAGGAGGAATGAGCTAGTTCTTAAGCCCTTTGAGGAAGAAGATCCCTGGGGCGGTAAGGATGTTCAGTGCATGATGGAGCTAGCACTGGCCAGCTTGCATAACCTGGTGGATGACATGAGAACGATTGAGGAAGGACCTGGCCAGGTAGAACGGCATGAGGACCTGACGGGAGGAATGTATCTCCTCGTCAACACGCTATTGCAGGAAGGCCTCGACCAGTCAGGCTAGTTGAACTCGACAGAAAATGTGGACGAAGTGCCCGAGAGTCAGGACGACGAGTTCGAGGAAGGAGAGAAGGAGGCTTTTCGTGCAAGCGATAAGGCTCAGAGGATGCTGAGGCGCTACTTAGTGCGAGACGGCCACCTTTTCGTGAGAAGAGAAGTGGGGAATCCCAGGAGGGTCGTCTGCGGTAGGAATCGTCAGATCAACGTCGTAGCAGCACTACACGATGGCATTGCAGGAGGGCATCGAGGGGTACAAGCCACGTATGCCAAGATAAGTGAGCTATACTACTGGGATGGAATGATGGACATGGTCGGAAAATTCTATCGATCCTGCGTACCCTGCCAGGAGAGATCCCGTTTAAGGCAGGGAGAGCCGCTGCATCCAAGGTTAGAGCGAGAGGTAGGGGCCGTAGTGCATCTCGATCTATTTTTTATGCCACTTGGGGATCAGGGCTATAACTAYATCTTCGATGCGCGCGATAACCTGTCTGGGTTCGTAGACGGGCGTGCTATTCGCACCAAGACCGGGTTAGTCTTAGTGAGCTGCATCGAGGAATATTACCTGCGTTACCCTTTCGTCAGGGAATTCGTAATGGACAGGGGATCGGAGTTTACCTGCTAGGAGGTGCAAGAATTGTTATCAAGGTATGGTGTAGCAGCCAACTACACCACGGCCGCGCACCCCCAGGCAAATGCTCCCGTAGAGAGAGGACATNTATCAAGGTATGGTGTAGCAGCCAACTACACCACGGCCGCGCACCCCCAGGCAAATGCTCCCGTAGAGAGAGGACATAGTACCATTACGAGTCTCTTGGCTAAGTGGACCGAAAGTAGACCTAATCAATGGCCAAGATACCTAAGGGCGGCGTTCTTTGTCGAGAACATTACAATAAAAAGATCCACCAAGCACGCACCGGCGACATTGTGGTATGGAAGGCACGCCACCTTCCCTATCGGGAGCTTTCTTAAGACATGGAGGCGCCAGGATCTGGAAGTTAACCTGTCATTTGAAGAATTGCTCAATATTCGGGCGCGACAGATAGGAGCGATAGAAGAAAGAATCCAGAAGGCGTCTGACCAGGTGACGAGAAGTCGTATGGACGATAAGGCTCAATGGGATCAATCTGCGCGGGTGAGGAAGGTACCCTTGGCAATTGGAGATGTCGTGCTTCTCTACGATTCATCACTGGAGAAGCAATGGTTCAGGAAGCTCGATAAGAGATGGTTAGGTCCCGACCGGATCGTACGGGTCGGAGACTTCGGAGCGTATCAGATAGAGGAGCTAAATGGGACTGAGTGGAAGGATTGGGTATCTGGAACGCGTCTGAAGAAATTCGTGGCGAGAGAAGAGGTAAGAGAGACGACCTGACTGCCTTTAGAGTAGGAGTAGCAGGGTGTGTAGGCTAGGTAGGATGTGTGTTGTTTGAGTGTGGTCTGGTCTAAGTTTGCTTGATTATCACCTGTTTTGCTTACCCCAATGTGTGCCTGTTGTCTCCTTCGCCTGTTGTGCAGGTCTGACTTTACGAAGAATGCCATGCCAAGTGGAGGGAGGGGGACACGGCCGCCTCGGAGGCCGTTGGGAGCATCAGGAGGATATGAGCGACATGGGCCTCGCCATAGAGAGAGTACTCCAGTATACGATGATGGGGACATCGAGCTATGCGACCCTCGCCTGTGGGGCCTGATGGCAGGCCGATCCGCCTAGAAATTGGAAATGCGTCGGACTTCATCCCTGCTTTCGAGTGGTTCATGCAGGGGCAGGGTATACCGAGAGATGAGTGGACGAGGACGTTACCCCTCTGGACCAGAAAGGCGGAAAGGCCGCTGGCTAGCCAAATCAGGGACATGGCCCGAGACTGGGAGAGCTGCAGGGCGCATCTGAGAGAGGCCTTTCGACGGCCAGAGTCCCCCCAGCCCATAGTCGAGAGACGTCAGAGGAGTCAGAGGTCGAGGGACCCTGAGCCCAGGGAGGTGAGGCCGTCTCGGGGAAGACGGAAGGCCCTAGCCAGGAGAGAGGAGGAGCCGGAGCAGGAGCCAGAGGTTGAGGAGCGAGGGGCATACCCTGAGTGTGGGTTGGGACCAGTGGAGTTCCATCGTTTTACCGAGGGTGGATTGAGGAGGTCACCACCACACACACGGGAGGAGCCACCGGTGTCTGAGGGGCCGTTGAGAGAGTTAGAGACGCATCTGGATATCTCTCAGTGGAGAGCATCGCCTCAGGATGAGAAGCATGAAGAGCAAGTAAAAGGGGTGCCACGAGAGGAGGTACCACAAGAGGAGGTGCCACGAGAGGAGGTGCCACGTGAGGAGGTACCGCGAGAGGAGGTGCCACGAGAGGAGGCGCAGGGTACTCAGCAAGAGAGTAGGCTAGGCGACATGGGGAGACATGCAGGGAAGGAAGTGATAGAGGTTGGCGAGGACACACCCCCACAGGCGCCAGCAATGGGTTTAAGACTCGGGGATGCACCAGGGAGCGCTCGTCAGGCAGAGGAGAGATTGCGGAGAGGGGAGGCCCCACTTCCTTCATCAGAGAGGGCTCCATCGCCAGAGGGGAGAGCCGGCAGGAGGAGAGAAAGGGCAGCTGTAAGGAGGGAAGCCTTGACCCTGATTGATAGGCACCTAGTAGCTTATGCCCTGGAGCATCCAGACCTGGAGGAGCCAGCACCTGCAGAGCCGCGCCGGGAGCCGTACCAACCCGAGAAGGAGATGGAAGCAAAAATCCCGAAGAGGGTCGACCTCCGCACGAGGGAAAGGGCGCCAGCTGGAGAGACGGCTGAAGAAAAGAGAGCAAGAAGAACTAGACGGATAGATGAGATATGGCAGGAGAGGCAGAGGTTGGAGGCAGCGGGGGAGCTTCCGAAGCAGCAACAGGAGAGGCAGAGATCGGAAGCAGCAGGAGCACTCCCAGGTCAGCCACCCAGCGCGCCAGCTAGGGCCCCGGAGATTCCTGAGATGTGGAGAGACTTCTGGAAGCGGAGAGGAGAGGAACTTCCATCGCYAGTCAGAGCCGGGTTTGGGGTGGCCAGGAAGGCGGAAGAGAGGTTAGATCGTAAAATCAAGTTCCTGGCCAGGACCACTTTTGACCGGCACTTGCTATTGGAGGGCAATCTGACAGGGAAGAAGAAGGAAGCAAGCCATGGAGTACGCCTGGAGGCTATGGAGATGGAAATTCAGCAACTCAGGGCCTTGGTGGCCAGCCAGGCAGCAATCATCGAGAGCCTGAGGCAGCAAACCCAGGGAAGGGTGGAAAGGCCAGAGAGCAGCAGGCAGGTAGAGCAGAGGCAGCCAGGACAAGGATTGCCAGGACAGCCATCTGCAGGAGAGCCTCGCCAGGAGCCACCTATGGGGAGAGTTATCTTGGAGCCAGAGGAGGCGAGAGCCCAGAGACAGGCAGAGAGAGAGGCGTTCGAGTTTAGAGCCCCTACTGAGCTCGCGACGCTGCCAATGGCGGCGGCAGGCCCAGTCGTACCTTTGGCAGTAGAGGAGGGGCTGCCACCATCTAGCAGTGAGCCGGCTCAGGGCTCGGCAGAGGGATCCATGGGCGTGCTCTTTGAGGCGGTGCATACTATACAGGAGGAGGTGAGTTTGTTTTCACCTGAGCAGAGGATAGAGGAGCCTCTTGAGAGAGAGATAGGGATTGAGGCAGAGGGTGCCATCGAGAGTAGGCTCCAGAGGATGGGCACGCCTGAGTATGAGCCAGGGGGGATTGAGGAGCAGCCCATGGCAGTGCCTAGAGAGACACTCGAGAAGAAACCTCAGAGGTTGAACACACCTGAGTACGTCCCAGTGACAGGGGATTTGAGGAGCAGRCTGGGGTTTTGGGCTACAGGATCTGGGTCTAGGGGACCGGTTCCTGGGACAGAGCAGCAGGAGGTCGTTAGTACCGCAGCTCCTCAAGCAGAGCAGCAGGGGGTTGTCAGTACCTTGGCAGGATCTCCTTCGTCACCACCTCCTCAGCCCAGGAAGAAGAAGTTCAAGAGGAAGATTGATCAGCTATGCTTCTACTGCAAACGGGGCGTGCATCTGGCTCTGGACTGTCTCGAGTTCCTTGAGGATAAGGCAGTAAGGAAGGTCTCAGAGGTAGGGGGTAAGATGTATGATAGACAGGGCAGGATAGTAGAGAAGTCTGCAGATGGACTTAGGGCTCAGTTATATAGGCAAAACCAAGAGGAGTTGAGGAGGTAGGGCCCGGTTGTCTATGTAAGTGGGCGGGTGTCTTGTGAGGCATCAGCTTAGGTTATGTGTGATACCCTCTTAAGACATAGAAGACCTTTTTGATGATTGCTACTAGTTTAGATCTGAACTCTAGTATTCCTACTGAGCTGGGATCTTGAGGATCAGGGTAATCTAGATGAGGCATGTACATATTCAGGTGGCCTACGCCCTGGCTTTTAAGAGACAGATCTGACATGTATTCTAGGGGTTGTTGTCAATATGGGTTTGGGGTAGCTTGAGTTGAGTGAGCTATGATTTGGAGACACTTTCTGTGTGAGACATTTTATTCCCTGAGTGTATATTATGATGAGGTTTTATTTCAGGGACCATTCTTATATGTGACGATCACTTGTCCCTCTCACATGTGTGGTTGTACTCTGATGAATTTGTGTGGACAATGTGTGAAAAACATCTTATGTGGCATGGGTACAGTGAATATGATTGTAAGCAAAATTGTCTACTCCTCGGTATACTTGTGCGACCTGCCCACGGGCAGCTGACAAGGCAGAGTATAAGTGAAGGAAGTGCAGTCCGCTGTGAAAGGTTAAGAGGATTCTGAAGATTTACGAGTCCAGGAGGCCCAAAATGCTTACCATGTGGATTGTTGGTTGCTTAAGTTGTGATGAGGACCCATAAGATGGTCTCTCAGTGATTTTGTTTATGATAAGCCCCCTTGGATTCTGGAAAAAGGGATGTTTTGTGATGTTGTGTGTTATGATGGGACCCCCTCAAAATTTTGAGAAGGGGAAGTTTGGTTTTATGGCGAGCCCCCTCATGATTTTTGGAAGAGGGGGKGTTTTGTTTCATGATGAGAGCCCCTTGGATTTTTGGAAAAGGGGATGTTTTTGTTGTTGGAAGACTCACCTTCAAAGGTGAGTAAACTCAATTATGGCATGGTAAGTTGTCTGATGAGTGATAAAGTCTAACGAAGAGGGCCACTTTTGTTTGGAATGATTGAGAAAGTCGCACTGAGTGCAGGGCATGAGATGTCTCAGAGTAAGTGGTTGCTGGCTCTGATCAAGTCAGGGGTCACGGCCTGGTGGACCTAGCGGTGATTTTGTTTCTAAGCGTGCGAAGGATGCCATGCCTATTGTGGAAGGGTTGGTAAATGCCTCCAGACCCCTGCGTGATCGCGCGGTGGGGCAGTGTTTTTGTTTTGCCACGCCCCGTCTAACCACTCGTGCTAATTCTGAGACATATTGAAGAAAGGCAAAGCTAACGGAAAAGAAGTTAGTACCTCTAGGGCGTAACCCCATTGGATAGCCGCTAGCCGGCGCAACCTAAATGCGGGACCGCGGGGTAAGAGTCTAAGGGGAGTTGCCCACCCCAGTGAAATTACTCTGTGGGATAGTGATGATTGATAATTTTTGGGGGAATCCTGATTGAATGCTTATCAGGAGGAAACCTATCGTTGTGTAACCAACGAGGGGTACTGCCGTTAAATAACAATGCGGTGGGCCGTAGTCCTGGCCCGATCAGCCAGGCTATGGCGGGCCAGGATGGAGACCTAACCTTTCTGTACTAGACTGCAGAAAGAGCTGAGCGGATACTAAGTATTTGTATATGCTTATGAAGATTTGATTGCGAGGGATTGTTTTTGAGAAAGAAGGCGATAATGCCTTCAAAGGTCTCGGTTAAGGCCCGCCCTAGTTTTAGCCTGGACTAGGGACACCCAACGAAAAGCCGAAGGTTGTCTAGGACCAGGGAGAGGACGATTGGAAAGGTCTTTGGAACTTATGCTGTCAGTGTCCTAATATCAGGACGGTAAGAGGCCCGGGTTAGAAACCTGGCAGCATATAGTTGTGGAGGCATGGTTTGATGGAGGTCTCTACCCTGTGTTGGTCGGCTAATTGGATTGGCTCCTCTTTCGTCAACATTTGGAGTGCGGATGAATTTATAGCTTTCTGATTTGGCGAAGCGACTGGGACGTCGCTTAATATGGTCCGGTTAGCTATCGGCGCGAATACCCTTACAAGGGTATCCGCCCTGTTTTTTTTGTAAGTAACAGAAAACAGTTTTGGTTTAAAGTTGAAGTATACCGCGCTAACCGCGGTTGCGTCTGTAATTGCGATGACTGGGTGGTTGACCGCAATAGCGAGTGTGTGAGCGCGCAGGTTTAAGGCGCCCGTGATTCTTTTCTGTTGTTGATCATAAGAGTCGGCTCGGACCTCGGTCGTTTTGCTTAGGTGATATTATTTATTATTTATTTTTTATTAAGCAGGAATTAAGGATATTTTCTGTTGATTGGTACTTTTGACCGAGTCGAACGCGCTTGCGGACAACGACCCCGACGACGGCATCGGCAACGACGGCGCGACTTTCGTGCGGTGAGCGGGGTGTCGTAGGATGGCGCGCGGGGCAATTATGGCACGGTATAAGCGAACCTGCGTGGGCACTGAGAGCCGCGCAGCCGTTTTATTGGCCCAAAGCGTCGCGCCGCACCGTCTCATATAGCACCCGGCGTGTTTTGGTCTCAGGCTTGGGCTTAGCCCTATAGATTACGGGATCAGACTATTACAACGGAGGTTTGAGGATGGAGGCCAGCGGGCGTCGGCGCAGCAACTGTAGCGGAGCGTCGTGGAAGGAACCGATGGGGTCGAGGGCGGCCAGGGCTATCCCCCTCGGTTTTTGTTTGTAGGCGTGGCGGCGCGCCCGGTCAGCGAGGGCTGGCGAGGCGCTAGCAGCCCGTTGTTCCCCGACCCTGTTGCTATTTTATCCTATTTCCCCTATCTATTTTGTTTGTCGTATCCCGAGGGCGCGAGACTGCAGTAGCAGCACGCGGGGGTGTGTTGTATCCGCAGGGATGCCCGAAGAGCAATTACAAACTGCTTTTGTGGCTGTGCCGGGGCCGCGCCCCGTTTTGCCTTGGGACGCAGGGTCGTGGTTACCCCCGGGGCCTAAGGGCCAAGCTCAGTGGGTACACCCATGAACTAATGAAATGCAGAGCTGTGTTCGAATTCAGGTGATGGAACTTGGTGAGTAAAACTAATTTTTTTTTTAACAACCTGGGGGGGGGGCGGGGCCTATTGACCCCGCGGCCCAGGCTGTGTCCTCCGGGACATCCGTTAAAATTGGAATGATACAGAGAAGTTGAGCATGGCCCCTGCTCAAGGATAACGCGCATAAATCAGGACGAGGTCCGACGGCCGGACGCTTTTTGGGTCTTGACATTTACGTGCCGTCGGGCCGGCACTGCGCGGTATAGGGGGAACGGAGTAACAAGGATTGTCGTGTAATGAGACCAGGCCATTACGGGTGTCGGGCGCTGCGCTAACAGTAGGAGGGGAGGACAGGCAGCGCGGCACTAAAGAGAGTGAGGGAGCTTACCTGGCGGAAACGGGGGCGACAACTTACCTATTGGAGAGATGGCTCAGGCGAGCGGGCTATGGTAGAGGCAAATAGGAGAGGACAACGGGAGAGCAAAAGGATCGGGACGGAGCCCGGTGCAGGGTGCATGTAAAGTAAGGGAAAGAAGATTAGGAAAAAGAAACTGAATGTGGGCGCTAATTCGGGTCAGGGGCACGCGGGAATGAGGTGAACAAGAAAAATCGAGTTATCACTCGATTCTTGACAGAATCGAGTGGGGTAAGAGGCTAGATAGGGGTTTTCGGACAAGGCGATCTCGAATCTGTGGTCAGTTTTTAGCGGTGAGTTAGTGAGTCAGGAGTTAGTTCAGGAAAGGGTTGCGTTGGGCTATGGCGGAGAAGAGGAAAAAAACGGGAAGGAGAAAACGAGATACCACTCGATTCTTGGTAGAATCGAGTGGAGTAAAAGCTGGGATAGGGGTTTTCGGGGCGGGCGACCCCGAATATGTAGTTGGATTGGGGAGATAACTAGCAGATCGCGGAGTTAGTAGGGAGGAGCTTGCGTGAGGGGCTATGGCGGAAGGGGAATGAACGAGAGGGAAATTATGTTAGTTCGATAGTCTCTCTGCCGCAGGACCGAGGACTGGCCTGTCGGGCACTAACAACCATGCGGAAGGGGTGATGACGAACTATGCATCGGGAGAGCAGCTATACGCACGGGTGAGCATGTGCAAGCGAGTGAATGGGACAGGGAGGTGTGAGCACACGTACCGGGTGAGGTAAAGCAACAAGAGCAAGAGTCGGAATAACTCCCGGAGAAGGAGAACTTACCTATGCATGCCTTGGTTGTAGCTATGAGTGGCAACAGACTGCGTCGCTGCTTAAGTTGTTGTGAAAGTTTGGCCCAGTTGGGGAATTTGGCTGCTACAGATACCGTTGTTACGATACCACTGCATGCCCGGTTACTGTGTGCTCAGCTGTTAGCCTTGGTCTCGCCCTTACTGCAGCAGTTGCCATGTTTACCAAGGGTGGTTGTGTTGCTAACTTTGTATAAAGGCGGCAACGGACTGCTGCGGGCGCTACCCATCGCTATGCGTTAGGTTACCTGTTCTAACCGTGTTTTCTGTTGCGGCAGCGGTTGGTGAGCCTATGACGGACTGCTGCACTGCGTGAGTACGATTGATTGGGGCTGTGTGCTTACTGCATTTCCGCTATGAGAAACGAAGGTGTGGTATAGGGAGGCGGAGTCCTTTGACGGAGGGTTATTGTTGCAACTCGGGGGGATCGTCACGGGCTTGACTTCGGTAGTTGACTCAGTGTTGACCACGCCGTTGCGCGCTTCTGGCTACCATTGCGGGGCCCTCAGGCGAGTCAGGATATCAAGGCCCTCTCCTGCGAGTGTGAGAGCACCTTTCCTGGATCTGAGAGTCTCACACCTTCCTCTTTCTATCTTTCAAAATCTAAGTCTAGTCTGTTGGTTACGAGGGGAAGGCGGCAGGCAGGATTGCAACCCGTAGGCCCGCATCAAGACTCTGTGGGGAGTCCACCCACCGATTGCGGGAGCTCTGTCGGAATCTAGGCGAGGTTCTGGAGGCAGGGAACTTTCAAGTATACTATTTTTTCATCTATATAACCCACTATCACCTATGTTTGTCTATCCCCCTGCAGTATGACTACTGTATGCATGCGATTGTCCCTATGGTTTTTGTTTTCTCTTCA